CGGTCAACACATACATACATACATACATACATACGTACATACATACATACACACACACACATATACACACACACACATATATACACACACACACAACCGGGCACACCCGAACGCGCTCGCAGCGGAGCGCGGCGCCTTCCCCGCAGCGCGCAACATCGCATAGCGGGCCACCGCCGGGCCGCGCCCGCCTCGCCACCGACCCGCGGCAAACCCCGGGAGGGCACCGAGCACACCTGGGGAGGGGTGTCGGAGCCGCGAACCCCAAAAAAGACCCGCCTGGGTCATCCCCGCCCGTGCCGCTCCCCCCCCCGACCCCCGCCGCTGTGAGGGGGGGGGCGCCGCGCGCGACCGTTGGGAACGGGGGCCGGGGCCCGGACCGTTGGGAAGGGCGCGAGCCCCGGGGTCGTGTGCGCGCGCGTGTGCACGTGTATGTGTGTACGGCGCGCGGGGGGATGTCCGCGCCCGCCGCCACTCACCTGGAGACGCAGTTCTCCAGCACGGAGCTCTTGCCGGCGCTCTGCCCGCCCACCACCGCGATCTGCGGCAGGTCGAGCAGGCAGTTCTGGCCCAGCGCCGCGAAGGCGTCCTGCAGCCGGTTGACGAGCGGGATGAGCCCCTCCATCCCGCCGCCGCCTCCTCCACCCGCCGCCGCTGACAGGTAACGGGCGGCGCACTGCGCATGCGCCCTCCCTCGGGCTTGGGGGCGGGGCCTCCGTGGGGAGGACACGCCCTTTCCCGGTGCGGGTCCCGCTGTTGTCCCAAAATAGGTGCTTTTTTCCCGGTGTTTACGAGGCTGGTCCGCACACAGAGTCGAGGTGTGTGATTTATTTACAGTTCTGTGAAGAAAGGGGGGCTGAGTGGCAAGTCCTTTTGCCATTCACGACGACTACCAAAAGTTTCCACATTTTAGCAAACAACGGCATTAGTGGACCAGATGACGCGCTGTGGTCCCTTCCAGCCTGACCCATTCTGTGATTCTATCCCTGCCCGAGGAAGTCAGCCTTGGTGCTGGGACCCTCAGGCACAAGGTGCACAGTTTGCCCAGGTCAGCACACTGACCATGAGGCCATCAGGCTGCCCCCTGATCCCAGCTGGCCACCTCCTCCTGCTGGTGGAAAGGGCTGCAGTGTCCCTTGAGAGCCCCTGGACACAGGACTGCGGCACCCTCCGGCACCCAGGAGAGGTTTCCATGCCCTCTTCCTCAATGACTTTTGTCACCAGACTGGGAAGAGGGCCAAACTGGGAGCCCATGGAGGAGCCCGGTTCCGCTGGCCGGCATGGGACCTGGCAGACAGCTGGCTTCAGCACTTCCCGATCTGCGGAGCGGGGAATTTTGGAGCAGTCCCAGTGGCTGAATTCCTCCCAGCAATGGGAACAGGAGCAGCAGGGACCACGATCCGTCCCTGCAGCACGTGAGTGTCCCTGGCAAACCTCACAGACACTCAGCCATGGGGGGAGTGCTGGCAGGTCAGACACCTTCACCAGAGCCGTGGCAGGGCAGGCCCAAGGAGGTGGGTCTGGCCGAGCTGGCAGCAGGTGGATGGCTCAGGAACAGGCTGGGAAGCAACAACAAGATCCAAGCCATGTCGCTGCAGTGGGTTCAATTTAAAAATGCACACTGAGGCTGAGCTAAGAGCTCAGGCAAACAACAGAGATGAGGTTTATCTGTGATTACTGGCAGCAGTCACAACATGAAAATATCCAAAACGCAGGCTTTGGAGTCCTGCAGCGATAAAAGTTATCCTCTGTATTAAACCAGACACCGGCCTCACTCAGCGTGAAAAGCAAAACAAAAGGGAACTGTGAACATCCCGCAGGCTGACGGAGACTAATGATCTGGAGGATTATCAAAACTTCTTGGCCAGAGCTCCCAATAAGTGTGAAAAATTACTCCCTACAACAGACTAACTTATAACTCTGGAAACAAATGAACAGTTTTTAATCGGCATAATATAGGCTTTGCCACTGGAGTTAGACCACAGCATCTGGGAAAAGCCTTGCCATCATTCCTATCTAGATGGGGCCTGGGAGTTATTGACATAATTATGCCAATTAGCAGCATGATTATTTCTTTCCCCACTCCTGAGAAAGCAGGCTATGCCAGGAGGCACTAGAGTAGTTGCCTGGCCTTCCTCCAGTTCATGGGTTTCTACGGAGGCTGGAAGCCGGGAAGAACAGGATCACATTCTGGCCAAATCCGCCTTGTCTGAGCATCAGAGCACTGTGTGCTGCCCCCATGAAATAATTAAGATCCGTAGAAGAGCAGCCTGGCAATAGAATTGCATCTCCACAGGAGACAAATGAAGATTGGAAAAGGCACGATGCCTGAGGAGTAACACTATGCGCACCTGATAACCTAAGGATAACCTGTCCTTTCCCTTCCAGTCTTTAGATTACATCTTTGTTTGCTTCCATGATTAAGATAACATAAATTAAGAAAACACCTTAGACTAGGAAAAGTCTGAGTTATTCCCCCAAGTCTGGGAAGTTCACAAATCAAACTTTTTGTCCGGTGAAGCAGAGTTAAAGCTGCCAAGTCACCACACTCACCCCACCACTCCATCGCTTACAAAAATCCACACTCCCCTCAGAAAAAAAGCTACAAGCAGCCAAGGATAGATTTCCCATCTTCTGGAAAAAGCACAGGCATTTTCTTTATACATGCCCCTATTACCATGAGGGTGCTCATTTTTCCAACAATTCCAAGAGAACAGTGAAGGAGAGAGGAAGAGCACCCGAGTGTATCTTCAGGTCTCTGCTTTTCCTAAATGACTTCTCTGGATGGCTTGTTCCAAACCCCCGTGTGGAGCCCAGCCTGGCTTTCTGAATTTGCCAAGATTCATAGTGGCTAAATTAAAGGAAACAGGGGTACTGCTATGAGACACCATTGCAAAGCTTCATGTAATGAATAACCATGAAATATAAGACACAAAGCAGTGTCAGGGGGCCATGCAAGAAACTGTTTTCTGGGGAAGCACTGAGTGTGATCCTCAGGAGCACAGAGCTGCTCACTGGTTAACCAGCTAAACACAACCTACTTTTACCCTCTGCTCAGTTGTGCCCCACAATATTTATCATTTCATTTTGCCATGTGCCAGGCTCAGCAAGCAGAGAAAACCTTTTCTGGCCACCTCTCCTGGCACAGCAGGAAGGCTGCCCTGCTCCCCAGGGTGACGTGCCAACTCCATCAGCGTGGTCTGATGTCAGATGTCACCACCTCCAGCAGCCTGGCCAGGGGCTCCCAGCCCTGTTGAAGCCTCCAGTGCATTTCAGATCAAGCCTACAGACAGCGAGTTTGTCCTGCCATGACTTTCAGAAAAATATATGGCAAAAATAGCCTGGCTTCAGGGTGCAGCTGTAGCATTCAAGGCCACAAACTTACCCACAGACAATTCTCCCTAAGCAGGCAGCGTCACGTTAAAGCTGAGGACATTTGGATCAGGTCCTCAGGCTGCTTTATAAACACACACCAGTGCAATTCCCTTCATGAAAAATGGGTTGTATATAAAATATCAGAGCAGACTTGCAGATGCCTGCAGTGAAGAGCCAGGCAGGATCCCCCTGCCAGCAAAGCAGGCAGGACCCTGTGGGGAGCAGAGCACAGAGGAGGCTGCATCCTCTCCCCAGGAAGAATTAAGAAGAGGCGGGTTCCTCCACACTTGCTCTTCTCCCCGGGGACTTTCCTCACCTCCTTCTTGCTTCAGATACAAACCCAGAGTCTTGCAGAGGTTTTCAGGCAGCTGATCAGCACAGAGCAGGGGGAGGTGTAGGCAAGGAGCCCGTGCAGGGGGAGCTCCCAGGTTCTCAGCAGCACCTGGCTCTGCAGTGGAGCTGCACGAAGGTCCCAGCCAGCACTGTGCCTGTGTGTCTGCCAGGAGCAGAGCTCCAGAGCTCAGACCTTGAAGCTGCAAAAGATAGAATTCAAGCCAGTGAAAGAAAGTCAGAGCGGCCGCAGAGCTGTGATTAGAAGCAGTGGCTGCAGCATTTCTCCCTGTAAAGAGGATGTGCTTTCTGCCTTCCCCCCACAGCCCGGGGCACTGCTGACTCACTGATCGTGGGACAGTGACAACCCAGTCTCTGTCCCATCTCTCCTCCCTCCTGCCCTGTGACCTCCAGCTGCATTCTTTAGTCGGGTGCATCCAGTTCCAGGGTAGAAAAAGGGCACCGTGCAGCATTGCAGCCTGCAGAGACACTTCCCAGCTGCCCTGAGCACCCCAGGAAAGAGCTGTACTCCCTCACTGCAGCCTGGCAGCACGCCTGCTTCCTTGGTCACAAAGCCAGGCAAGCCAAGTGCTTCCCTAAGGGAAGATTTCATGTCCAAAACACTCCCCATATGCTTCCACCCTCCGGGAAGTGGCTGGTGCAGCCCTTGCTATGCTGTGATTGTGCCATGCCAGGACAGCAGCAGCATCACCAGGCAGCCAGGCTCTTCCCAGGTGAAGGGAATCAGCCTCAGCACTTAGTCCACCTCCAACCTCTTCCCTAGAGCCCAGCCACCTCCAGTCCTTCTGCAGAGCAGGGACCTGTGTTGTGACACATGAGGAGGTTATACCATCTGGGGGGTGTATGTGGCACCCCACCTCTGCCTGCCTCACAGTGTCACTGTCCTGCCAGCTGCCTGCCCACACTGTCACCTTGGGCCCAAAGAGCCTCCATGGCTGGGCATGGCTGGCTGCATCCCTCCACCTGAGATCAGGAATCCCAGGGCGGACCCATCAACTCCCTGTGTCTCATTCACTGGAGCAGCAGCAGGACTGGGATGTAATGCTTTGAGAAGGATTGGGACCACACCAGAGCAAATCATCCCCAGCTGGCTACAGCCTCACACCTGAGCCATGGGATGAGTTATGCACCGGTCTGTTTTTGTGCTGGGAAATCCAGAAAGGAAAAAGTCAACATCTCGGCGCCAGTGGAGGTTGCTAAGTGACAGCAGAGCTTGTTTCTATCCCACCACTTACAGCGTGGCTACGCTGCAAAGGAAGTAAGTGAGGAGTAAGGGATGTAAACATGAGTATATTGCCAAAACACTCAACAGAACACACAGTTGCCAAACATATACATTAGCTGCACGTTTTGGCTGCCAGCAGAGAAATATTTACTACGTGTCAATTTTCCAGCCTTGGAGCATTTTACCTGCAGAGGAAGATTTTGTGTATTTGCAGCGTTCATGAATTTGCCAGTTTTCCAGCTGAAATTTATTTCCAGACCAAACTTGTAGCTGCAAGGACAGCTGCAACGAACTGAGATTTCATCCTAACATTGTTTCTAATAGATGGCTTTTGTTTTCCCACCAGGATGTGGCGTTACACAGCATTTGGGAAGCACAACAGAAAGGCAGGACTGGACAAGGGAGGGATGAAGGCAGCCTTTGTATGAGCTCCTGGGGAAGAAAGGAGATGGTTTTGGTAAAATAAAGGGCATACACACAAACCTATGTCGTTGGAATTATGTTGAGAATTGCATACTAAGTTAAAAATAGCCTAAATGCAGCACTGCTGATCCAGTTGAGAAATTTGCCATTGCTAAGCTGGGTGGATAATAGATATCTTTCAAAACAGTGCTCATCACAGAGAAGCTTTAGAAATTTAACTGTGTGGGGGCAGGCAGACTTCCACCCAGCTCGAGCTCCAGCCTTGTCCCTCCCATTGCCATGTGCTGCCTCAAACACACTACAGGAGGAGGAAAACACACTACAGGAGTGACAGGGTGCCGAGAAACAGAGGGCACTTACCCACAGTGGCAGCCTTTATCTGAGGCAGGGAGCAGGCCAGCCCTGCTCTCCCATGCCTGGGAACCATCAAAAGCACTAATTAAAAAAAGCATCTGCTCCCTCTGCATAGAAGCAGGCTAGCCCAGGGAGAAAGTAGGGCAGAGATTTGTCCCTCTGTGTGAAGGGGAGTAAAGCAGGTGACATGGGAGAAGGGATCTGAAGAGTGGTTCCCAAAGTAGAACCTGCTGGAAAATTAAAATTAAAATACAGGCACAGAGGGGCCTGTCAGAGGGACATGCTCACTGTCAGCATGGTTGACATAGGGTCAGAAGAGTGGAAACACAGTGGGGTCCAGTTTGGAGAGGGCAGCGGAGCTAAAGGGGCAGCTGCCTGTCCCCAGGACATGTCCTTGAGTTGCAGAGGTGACTGTAGCTTTTCCAGGGTGTGGGTGCTTCAGAAATTAGCCCTCGCAAAGCACTGCAGGCCTCAGAGCAGCCCTGAGCACTTTATTCTCACAGCCCACCCACACATATCCACAACCAGGCTTGGGGCAGCACCAGGGCTCTGCAGAGACACCAGGGATGCTGGAGAGGCAGAGAGAGGCAGCATCAGAGGGAAGGCACTGTGCTGGAGGGGAAAGAGGTGGTTGGAGGGATGTTTTTCCCACAGTGGGGAAACAATGGGGACAGACCCAAACCCACAGTCCTGCCAGTCCCACAGCACCTTCCTCCCCTCACCAGCTCAACGCTGTCCCTTGGGCTGCACAGCCCTCCTCAGTCCCGGACCCCTTCCTGGGGAGCCACGCTGCAGGAAGCACCTTCCCATGCCAGTTCATCCCTCAGGCAGACCCAGGCCAGCACATGCCCCCCAGGGGTGGCAGTCCCAGCCACGGGCACCCCTCTGCTGTGGGGCCAAGGCACCCACATGAGGAGCACTCTCTTGAGCAGCGTCTCAGCCCGTCCTGAGGAGCCCCTCTCAGAGGATCCTGACAGCCTGCAGCATGTCTGCCAGCACGTATGAGCTGTCCCAGGGGCACCCTGGCTCCCGCAGGGCCCCCTCCAGTGCCCGGGCACGCGCCCCCAGCTCCGCAGGGTCCCGCCGGCCCTCGGGGCTGGGCTGGCAGAACAGGATCTCGTTGACCTCCCCTTCGATGCGACGCGTGTAGAGCAGCGGGAAGACATCCCTGAGGGTGGCCAGGACAGACTCCTTCAGCCGGGCATCACGGCACACCAGGTTGAGCACAAAGATTCCTGCAGCAGGAGGAGAGGGGTGGGAGTTCAGCCTGGGTACAGCACCCTGCTCCCTGTGGGAACACAGCTGAATCGGTGCCACCACAGTGCAAACGTCTCCCCCACGGCAGCACGAGGAGTACCAGCATCCCCCTGGTACCCTTGGCCCAGCTCCATGTCCCTGCTGCCACATGGGTCGTGGGTGGCCACGATCTGTTCTCAGGTACCGCCTACACCCTCCGCTTCCAGCAACCCTTCCTGGCCCCAGGATGTCTCAGCCTGCCTGACCCAGCAGTGCTGCAGGTCACCTGCTCCACCCTGCTGGCACAACACCCAGCGAAACACTCGGATCCAGGACCCACCAGGAGAAGCAGATGCCACACAGCAATGCTGTCTGTGGCCAATATTCTCCAGGAGGAGAAACGGTGGCACAGCCCCAGCTCCACACAGAGCCAGCCAGCCTGGCCACAGGGACACAGCCAGATCTCCCCTCCTACCTTCTGGCTTGAGGATGGTTTTAACTTTCTGCAGGAAGGGCTTTTCCACAAAGGCTGGGGGTGGGCAGCTCATCCCCATCGTGAGGTCTTTGCTGTCCACGTCGAACATGATGGCATCATACTGGGCTGGGGCTGCAGGAGGAAGCACAGAGAGTTGTTATCCCACGGGACAGAGGTGAACCACACACGATTGGGAGGCAACAAATGGGATGGTCCAGACATCCCCTCTGCCATGTTATGGGTCTCTTCTCTCTCCTGGGGTTTCTCTTTCCAAATGAAACCCACAGCAGCAGCCCTTGGTGCTGAGGGAGGCAGCAAATCTAAGGCCCCCTGCACACTAGGCAAGGACAGGCTGTGAGCTGCAGAGACCTGGTGAGGCTGGAGACTGTGACACATGGCAGGAGATGGGCAGGGGGTGAAAACAGCCCAGGACCTCAATCCTCAGCATGTCACCCACCAGACTTGATGGAGTACCCAGAATGCTCCCCAAGAAGGTACCTTCAGCTGCCAGCTTGGCCACGTAGTCCAGGCCATCGGAGAGGTGCACTTGCATCCGGTCACCCTGGGAGAAGCCGAACCAGCGCGTCGCCACCTCCAGCATGGAGGGGTCAATCTCCACCACGGCCACATGGGCCTGTGAGAAGTAGTCATGGATGAAGAGGGGCAGGCTGCCACCGCCAAGCCCCACCACCAGCACTGCCAGCGAGGCTCCTGCCAATGGAGAACACCCAGTGAGCCACCAGGATGCCTGGCTCCCACTGCTCATCCCACCCACTATCCACAGACCACTTTGGGAAGGGGGCATGGGGCCAGAAAAGCCATTCCCCAAGGAGCTGGGGTGTGGGGACACAGGCGCACCTGCCCCCAGCACAGCCTCTCACTGCTGGCCTTGTCACCTGGGAGGGGGTCAGGGCCCCCCAGCAGGCAGAGCCCTGCGACCATGGCCTTGTGGTGCTCACAGCACAGGTAGCTCTTGTCGATGGCTGCAGGTGGCTCAGCAGGGCTGGGTTTCTTCTTGTCTTTTCTCCGTTTCTTCTGGCCTGAATGACAGGAGACACCAGCTGGTAAGGCAAGGCGGGAGACAGAGGTGCCTTCTGGGGACTAGCCACCCCCAGCCCTGCCCCACCCACAGCGCAAAACCGCTCCCAGAGCTGCTCTGGGACAAGGCAGGCAGGTCCCAGCAGGACTTTTACCTTCCTCCTCAGTCTCATCTCTGTCACCCCCCAAAAAAAAAAAAATCAGCCTTGGCCCCTGCCCCTTCCTGGCTGCCCCAGGTACCTGGGAGAGGTGTGGGAGCCAGGAGCCGGGCCTCGGACTGCACCACGTTCCTGTTGCGGAGGAAGATGAGGCGGCGGAAGTAGCAGGTGCCGTCTCCCTTCACGTCCTCCACCACGTACTCCCCGCTCAGGGGGCTGGTGTCCTGGTGCCGCACCGCCCGCACCCCAATGTCCCCTCCCACGGACAGGAAGGGCACCTGCAGGAAGGACAGTGACTGGTGTGAGGAAGGAAAGACTACAAAAACAGAGCCTGGCGTTCCCGCTGTCCTGACAATGGCTATGGAGCCATTGGATGAAGCGGACACAAGGCAGGAGCAGTGGGATGCCACAGGAGAGCTGAGGACCTGCACTGGCTTCACTCCCATCCGTGTGTTGGGGGTACAGGGAGCAAACACCTCATGACTTCTCGCAAGAGCTCAGGTTTGGGGAGTTGGGGAAGGAAGGAGACAGGATGAGCAGAAGTTAAAGCTAGGATTAAGAAGAGGCTGCTCTCAGGGTTTCGGGATGCCCGGTTTTCTTGGGATGCTGGGTTTTTGAGGGGAAGGATTTCACACTGAATCTGCCTCCAAGCAAAGGTTGGAGGGAAAACTGGGAAGAGCTGTACCTGAAGCCAGACTCCTGCCCACCAAGGCAGCCAGCTCACACTTTGTAGCTTGGTCTCCCTTGGAGAAGAAGGATTCACTGCTGGAAAAGAACCAGCCTGTTCCCGGTTTTGGGGAAGCCAATCCAGGGGTTTGGGCAGTGGGGGCTCACCTGCTGCCGGGCAGGGAGGCCTGGCGGGGCCAGCTCCATCACCTTCCCTGACAGCTCTGCCTGGATGCCAGCCATGCCCTCGTAGTGCTGCTCCCTGTGAAGGGCCACGGTGACCAGGCGCCCAAAGCCCGCACTGGTGGCCAGCTGCCTCCGTCCCTCCTCCGTGCCAAAGAGCCACTCGGTTTCTCTGCCCTGTGGAACTGCAGAAGGGGATGCCATCAGCCTGGGCTGCTCCTGGTCCCAGGGGCAACCACCCCAACCTCCAAGGGAGGAGCCACAGGGAATGGCAAGACATCATGGCAAGACTAGAGCCGTGCACCACAACCATCAAGAGAGCCAGGAGCTCCCCTGTTTTGAGCAAGCTCATGCAGGAGGCTGGAAAAGCCATGTCTCATTAGAAGGGGAGTCCAACAGCCTCATGACCTGTCTCCAGGCTGTGCTAAGCCCCAGCTTTGCAGGTGTGCAGGGGGGGAACAGCGCCACTGGCAGAGCCTGACACGTCTCTGTGAGGTGCAAGCAGAAAAGCCAAGTGCAGCCCCAGCAGCCCAGCCCTGCAAGTCAGGACACCCACACAGACCAGAGGCGCCTTCCCAGCTGCATCACTGCACCCTGGCTGCATGCAGCAACGTGCTATGGTGGCTGTCACCTGCATCAAGGCAGGAATCACCCCCTTGGAGGTAGGACAGGCAGTGTCCCTCTGCTCTGAGATGCAAGCTCTGTGTCAGGTCCATGCTTGCACTACCAGGCAAACACATCCCACCACAAAACCAGGACTAAAACAACAACTGAACCCCCCACAGGTGGGTTATTTCCCCCTCCAGTCCCAAACTGAACCAGGCCTGAAGGGCTGGCCATTTGCAGCTCCTGGCCAGAGCACCATCTCGTTGCAGGCAGGACAGGCTGTACTCACTGATGAAGATGGCAAAGCGATTTTCCCGGGAAGGTTTCACCAAGGGGCTGTCAACCACATGCAGTGTGTAGCGAGGCTTCCCGCTCTCCTTGTCACACAGATCCAAGGAAACCTGTTCCCTGCAGGGGGTTTTGCTCAGCTGGCTGCAGAGCAGGGCGTAATGCTGCCTGTCCTTCACTGCTGCCACCAGCCGCTCCACGCTCTCCACCCGCATCGGCTTGTCCTGCTCCTCGGGGCAGATCTCCAGGATCTGTGGTGCCGAGCCAGGGATCTTCCTGAATTTTGTCATGACGTAGACAAAGACTGGTAGGACAAACTGCTGGTTGTCCCCGCTGCCGGCCACCTGATGGACGCGCACGACCCAGCCTTCCCGGGAGAAGTATTCCACTGCTTTCTTCAGCACATGGGCTTGAGCCAAGGACACGCAGAGGTAGCGCCCTCCCACCTGCAGCACCCGGCTGATCTCGGCAAACATCTGGTCCACCTTGGCCAGAGTGGCCTCCTCTTCATCAGTAAGGAGGGCATCCAGCGTGCCTTTGTCCAGGACCACCTGGAAGTGGGCGTCAGGGAAGTCCATCTGAAGCATGTCCATGAGCAGGTAGCTCATCTTTGGCCTCCTGCTCCCGCTCCGCTCCTGCATCTGGCGGATCACGGCGTCGCTGATGTCGATGTTCACGATGTCCTCGCACATTCCCACGTCGTACATCTGCTCGCTCAGCTCCGAGTTCCCACAGCCCACCACGAGAACCTGGGGCAAGGCACAAGAGCAGTGGGATGGTGAGAAACTCCTGGACACGTGCCCCCAAAGCACTTCATGAGCAAATATCGGCCACGGCTACGAGCCCTCTGTGAAAACCACACCCACAGCACCTGCAAAACCACTCTCTGGGCCCTAAGGCAACACTTCAATAGAGAAAAGTCACTTGGGCACAGAAGCAATGGATCTGCTGCATTTCCTCTGGGAACAATCTGCGTGTTTTACCCCCCAGAGCAACCCAGGAGTCTCTCCTGTGCTCTTGCTGTAGCACACTGGGGGCTTCACATCGTCTGTGTCAACACACAGTGGCAGTTTACGGTGGGACACAGAGGCACAGAACTCATACATCGAATCACACAGAATCAATTACATTGGAAAAGATATCTGAGATCATCGACTCCAACCTGTGACCCAACACCACCATAACAACTAAACAATGGCACTAAGTGCCACAGCCAGTCCTTCCTTAAACGCCTCCTGGGACAGTGACTCCACCACCTCTCTGGGCAGTCCATTTCAATGCCTAAGCACCCTTTGTGTGAAGAAATTCTTCCTAATGTTCAGCCTAACCCCCCCCCGGTGCAGCTTGAGACTGTGTCCTCTCGTCCTGTCGCTGCTTGCTTGGGAGAAGAGCTCAACCCTCACCTGGCTACAACCTCATTTCAGGGAGCTGTAGAGTGATAAGGTCACCCTTGAGCGTCCTCTTCTCCATGCTAAACATCCCCAGAAGGAGCCCCGGGGAGACTCGGCCCGGGCACAGGGTGCTGGGTACACACGGGGGCTCACCTTGTCGCGGGGCCGCACATACTTGTGCAGGACGGGGCAGAGCTCCGGGAAGGCCCCGTACCACTCGAAGGCGCGCTGCCCGCGCTGCCGGAAGAAGCGGTCCCAGTACCGTGCGGAGCCGAACTCGGCGGGGCTTGCGGGGCAGCAGCTCCATGGCCGAGCGGGTGCGGGTCGGCCCGCTCCGGCCCACGTGCCGCGCTCTGACCGCTTCGGTCCGCGGCGCCGCGCGGGCGATGACCTCGGCCGCCCATTGGCTGCCTCTGCCCGCCGCTCCCCATTGGGCCAGCGGGAGGCGCTGGCGGGGCGCGCCAGCGGCCCGCGCCGCCCCCCCCCGGCCCCGTTCCCGTTCCCCCCAATCCCGGTTCCTGGGGCGCACAGGTCGCGGCACTCTGCTCAAAATCTCCTGGCAGAAAGGGTGACAGGGACTGAGCGGGCCGGCGCCGCCCCCGAGGCACAAACGCGCGGCTCCAACACCCGCCGGGCCCCGCGGCGCTGCCGCAGCGACAGGAACAGGGCGGAATGAAGTACCGATGGGTTCTAAAGGAGCAGCTTTAATGGCAGCCCGCAGCAGAACAAAGCTCTCCCGGGGCTGTGTGTGACATGGACATGCAGGGGGGTTGGAGGGGATGATCTCCAGAGGTCCCTTCCAGCCCTAACAATTCTGTGATCTGTGGACACGGGGTGCCCGCAGCCCGGGGCACTAGCTGGGACCGGAGTGGTGCTCTGTCGAGTTGCTCTGGAGAAAGAAGGCAGAGAGCTCGCTCAGTGCTCGGTATCGGTGTGAGATGGAGTTCTTCACTGCCTTGGGCAGCTCAGCGTAGCTGCAGGGCACAGAAAACACAAGTCTCAGCAGCAGAGACACTTCAGGATGTGCCCCCTAGTCACCAAGAGCTCCCCCTCTGCTCGTTGCCTCCCTGCTTGGCTCAGCAGGCATCTGTAGTGACACGCTGGCAGAGCCAACAACCCCCATCCCGATCCAGGGGTTCCCTCTAACACACCACATTCAGATCCAGGAGGACTTTTCTCCCTGGTGCCCTTCCTTGCAAGCCAATTCCTCTTGACACCCTCCCCCCTGGCTTGCCCTACACAAAGAGCTGTAGGTAAACACCACTTACGTCTGGTTGTAGCCATCTGGCTGAAAGCAGGGATCCCAGCCAAAATCCCGAGGGCCTCTGGGCTCCACGATCAGCCCCTGCCATGAGAAAGCAAAAAAGGCCCCTTAAGCTGTGGTTTCACAGCAATTCACTTGCAGCCACATTTCAAACACAGGCTGAGGGGCTGCACAGAGCCACAGACGCCACTGCAGCCCCCACAGGCTCTGCACAGTGCTGTGCTCCTTCTCAGCACCTCCCCAGGGTGGGACAAAATCAGCAGCCCCAAACTCACACTGCCCTATGTTGGCAGGGCCTTTACCCCTCCAAACAGAGCTAACAACTAGAATGCAGCCCTGTCAGAGGGAGATGAGGGGCTGAAGAGACCAAGGTAACATGCAGAGCTCAGCAAGTACCACTGGGAAAAGGGCTGCAGCACTCCCACCCGCTCTCTCCCTCAGCCTGTTCCCAACACTGAGAAGCTCCGAGGCTGTTCAGTGACCCAGGGGCCACTAAAATTGTCCTCAGCAGAGCCAGTGCTGTCACACATCACATCCCAGCCCTCCTCCCCCAGCATGTTCCCTTTCCCAGCCACACCACCTACGTGGGTCTGGCCCTTGAACAGCCTGACGGGCTCCTCGGGGTTCCCACTGCTGAAGGCAAAAGTACAGAGGGCGTAGGCAGACTTGTCTTCAAAGCCAGCCAGCAGCTTGTACAGGCCTGAGAGAGACAGAGAGGATGCCGGCGTTACTGCCGCTCCCTCGGAGCGCAACACACCCCCTAGGGACGGATCGAGGGAGCATTCCGCGCCGCATTCCCGGCCACCGCCGAGAGGAAGAACTACAAGAGGTGACAAAGCTCAGGCACAGGGATGCTCGTGGCGGGATCCCTCCTATGACTGAAGCCAGAGCCTCAGACCTCACAGTGTGAGCTGCAGGGCCCTGTTATGATTTTGGGAGGTGAAGCCAAAATGCGGCACCAGAGAGGACTAAGCCCACTCTGAATTAGAGTGATTAGTGCTCATGTTAATGGGATTAACACTGAACTGTGGGATCAAGGCAGTCACTGCACACCAGGGGAGGGGAGGGGAGCACTAGTGGAGAGAGGCCTGCACTGAGGCCACAGGGAGCAGCAGGTCTGACAGGTCACACTGATGAAAACCAAGAAGTTCCCACAAGCCCTGCCACCAGCCTGCAGAGGCAGGAATCTGGGAATCCAGGGATAAAGCTGCTGGGGAAAACAGCATCCCAGGAAGGAGGGCACAGAACAGAGGAGAGAATGTGAAGAGACAGAGCTGGACAGGCAGGAAAGGGAACCAGCTATGAAACAGGCAGTGTGGTGGGCAGGCAGGCTGGGCAGAACCCAGTAGGGACAGGGATCCACTTCAGGGGAAAAGGAGCAAGTTACAGGCAGAGCAGTAACATGAGAGCAGTACCTTCTGGCTTGAGTTTCTCCAGGAACCATTTTCTGAAGAGGAAGAAGAGAGGGAAGATTAATTTTTGCTATTATCTCTCAGAAATACAGGTATCCTTGAGACATTTGCCTACATTTTCATAGTCCTTTGAATCCCTCTTCAGTGTGCTCAGATCACCTCAGGACTACTTACCAGCAAGGGCAGACTCAGCTCTTAAAGTGAATGTGACACAGTGAAAACAGCAGTGGAGTATTTAATTTAAAGTAGTCCTGGGGTCTATGTAAATAACCCAGTGCTCACTCCTGAGCCATGCCAAAAACATTTCTCAACACAAATTGTTCACATTTTACACCCAGCTATAGTGCTGACTTGGTCACAGCCTCAAGCCTGCCAGAGTTCAAGAAGTGTTTGAACAAGGCTCTCAGACACATGGTGGGATTCCTGGAGTTGTCCTGTGCAGGGCCAGGAGTTGGACTTGAGGATCCTTGTGGGTCCTTCCAACTCAGGATATTGTATGATTCTATTCTATAACCTACAGCTTTTATGTCTGCTTAGCACAGCAGAGATAGTTTGGAAGAATTAATCACACTAACAGTTAATTCCAGGAGATGAGGCAGTATTTCACTGCAGAAGTTCCACTGTAATGCAATAATTTTTTTATCTGCTGGATTTAAGCAGTTCCTATGAGAACCTACAGACACTCATCCCAGAATCCTGCTGAAAGGCTTGGTGTCTTCATTACACAGACCCCACTGTGTGGACAGGTTCCCAAGCTCACTGCCAGTGTAAGCACCATAGGTTGGGAGCCAGAGCCAACAGTCCAGGTGTGTCTGTCTCATCCTGCTCCATGACTTACAGCAGGGCTCAAGGAGTTAAGCCCAGCCCCTGGGGTGCAGGATGAAGATCAGGACACAGACCAGTAATCACCTCCCTGATTCTACTGCTCCTGGCACACGGAGAATCCTCCACTGAGCCTACCCTGCCAGCCTGTGCTCCTAACTCTGGCACACAGAAGAGAAAGCAACTTCCCTCCTACTTACATGTAGGGTCCTGGAAGGCCCCCCAGGGCATTGAAGCACAAGCAGGTGTCCTCTACTATAACAGGTCCCTGAACCTGCAGCAAAAGCCCAAGAGGAGAAAACATTAGCCCTAGAGGAAAGTCACTGCTTCCAAACCTATTTCCTTGCTCTGTCTTATCCTCACATTTCCACTTGGCCTCAAATGCAACCTTGACCTTAAAGGCAACACAAACCAGACAGACACAATCCAAACCAAGCTCTCCCCAGGCAGGCCAGAGTGGCTGAGGAACAGTAGGGAAGTAAAACAAGCTGAGGTGAATACCCCCTACCCTCCTGAGGGATGGGAATAGCAGGACAAGGAAAGGGAAAGCCCATATCCTGGAGGCAAGGCTGCATTTCTCTTGAGACCCAGCTCTCACTTGGTTCTTTTAAGACACCCATCCCAGAGACAGCTCTGGAAGCTCAAGCTGACAGCAAATGCTGTGTCCTGCAGCCACAGGGGCTGGACTGAAGGAGCTGCCATGTCCTCCTGCTGCTCCAGGGACACAGGAGACCAGAGGAGCCGCAGCGGGGCTGCCAAAACACCGTGTCACCAGTGAGAATTCACCAGCACCCGGCCCAAATCGGGGCGATGGGAGTGCGGTCAGGCCAGGCCAGGCGAGGCTGGATATGCCTTTGGCTTCCCTCGGGGCAGGTTTGGATGCCCCAGCGTCCCTGCCTGGGGTCCCTCCGGGAAAAGGAAGAGAGCAAAGGAGCGACCTGCCGGGCGGCTTCACGGCACTTCTGCACGGAGATCTCGTCTGGCTCCCCCTGGTACTCGGGCACTGCGGACACAGGGAGCGGTGATGAGGAGATGGCGAGACGAGACGAAAGCCTCGCGTCCCGCCGGGCCCGCCAAGGAACACTCACGGTCAATCTCGTCGCCACCAGCGTTAGGGAGGAGGAGGTCCCGAGGATCTGAGTGACCTGCAGGAGGGGAGAAGGAGAAGGGATCGAGGTGAGGGAGAGAGAGGTGAACAGCCGCCCGCAGCCACCAAGTCCGGCTGCCCCCGCAATCCTCCTCCAGCTTCTTGGCGTGCGGTCACGAAAATATAAACGACGGGCTCGCGCGGCGCGGGCTCCGCCATGCTGGCCCCATCGCCGGCCGGCCGCAATTCAGCCCCGCGCCGCGCCTCTACAGCGCCAGCCATGGGAAATGGGTCTGCCCCCGCCCCCGCAGCGCTCAAGCCAATGGGAAAGGCGTCTGCCCCCCGCCCCCGCAGCGCTCAGCCAATGGGAACGGCGCTCACCTGTGCGAGGCGGGAACTGCCAGCCCTCCGAGGGCGGGCACGGGGTCGGGCCGGAGGGTCTCGCGAGAGGCGCGCGGAGGGCGGAGCGGGTCGCCATGGCGACCTTCCCCCTCAAGGTCCTGGTCCTTGTTTACAGCCCCGCCGTTTGGCAGCCGCGGCCGGAGGATCCCCGAGCCCGTTTTCCCTAAAGTAGAACCACATGTTCGTTGGAGGAATCGGGCAGTGCGTTGTGCGCCAAGCGCTGCTGCTGTTCACCCCCACGACCTCTGGCGCGTCTCTGCGCTGACATCTGGTTTCGTGTGTCGGAGCGATCAAGTTCCGTCGCCGTTGCGTTTGCTGCTGGTGGTGCCTCTCACAGCCAGAGCGGGTCCCTTGGGAAGGTCTGTGCTCAGGACAGCCTCAGTACGGAGTGACTCGAGCCTCAAACCACACCCGACACTGGCACCTCATGGCAGTGCAGTGATGGCTTTGGTTGAGGCAAGCTTTCCCTGCCCTGCATCTCTGGTAACTGCAGCGCCACCTGGACTGGGGAGGCAAGAGGTGTCCGTGGGGCCGGTGTGGAGCCCCAGAGGACAGGTCAGTGCAGTCCAGCACTGGTGGGGAGCAGTGCCCTGGCAAGCAGCAGCCGGGTCCTGCGAGCTCTCCCACCGTGGTACCCCCTCATCACCAGCCCCCCCGAAAGCCTCTGCTTTGCAAGGGGACTCCACAGGAGGGACTTCTTTCCCCCTGGGCTGCCCAGCTGCCAGAGACAGGAGATCTTTCCCCACCTGTGTCACATCCCTGCAGCCCCCCTGCCCTCAGGCATGGGCAGCCCAGGATCTCACCACACAGGTCACACCTGCAAGCCCAGGAGGAGGAATGCACAGCCAGAAGATGCCATTCCCTGTACAAAAGCAATCATGTGGAAAACAGCAGCTGCCTTCTGCACTCTGAGGGAATGGATAAAACAGACCCGACGCTTGGGTGAAGGAGTTGTTTTTGTTGTAGAATCTCCTTCATAACGTCTTCCAAGTGAAAACCAACCCCCAAGCTTGCAGACACTGCTGGAAACAACAACTCTCTCTGCTCACTGCAGTTCCCCCTGCCACCAGTCCAGTGTGGGACAGCACAGGCTGCAATATAGAGACCACAGTGTCAGAGGAGCACAAGGAGGACTGCTCAGTACCACTCCTAGACCAGACATTTCCAATGGTCTTTCCAGCCTTGGGAAAAAAAAAAATCTATAAAAGTTGTTTAGTAAGTTCTGTTATTGTGAAGCTTCTGACCAGGACCATTGGTTTGCTGCTGGGGCTGCCTCTCCCAGCCAGAGCTGGTCCCTTGGGAAGGTCTGTGCTAAGGACAAGTCACTCATGGAGTGACTCGAAACTAAAACACAGTTCTGGCAACTCAAGGAGGTGCAATGATGGCCTTGGTTGTGGCAGCTTTCCCTGCCCTGCATCTCAGGTACAACTGTTTGCACCCCAGCCTCCTGGGAATGCTGAATGCTGCAAAATCTCTCTAGCAAAGAGTCGAGGAATTCCATCTTTCCCTGAGCAAGAGCCTGCTGCCTGCATTTGGCTGCCTGGAGTGGGCTTGGCCCAGACTTCATCCCATCAGCACCCACTTTCCAAGACCCTCAACCCAGTATTAAAGCCATACTTTGCCTTCAGCAAGGAACTTCAAAACCCTTTCTCTTGCCCAGGCCTGGTGCCAGCAGGGATCTGAAGTCCTCACACACTCCTGAGGCACCAAGGTCCTGATATGGGTGGCAGTGGCAGCAGCAAAGGCCAAGAGAGAAAGGCAGAGGCACTGGCAGGACTCTCCAGCAGCAAGAGTGAATTAACTCACTCCCCATTTGGCAGGACATGGTACTCAACAGTTCAGCAAGATCTGCAGCCCCCTGGAGACAGACACAGTCCCTTCTTCATCCACGTTCTTGATCCCTTGCACTCAGAGAGTAGCCAAAGGCACAGGCAGGATGATTTTTGTCTCTTCCACTGGGTGCATGATCTTAAAACCAGCCTATACTTTAGGAGGAAAAACCCAGCTTGGCTTTCTGGTTCCCACCTGCAGAGATCAGGGCTCACAGAGGGGAAAAGCCCTGTTTATATTCCAGCTGGGCAAACAGAGCTTGTAATCACATCTAGCCCTCCAGCCTGCTGTGCTCACTCTTAATCCCCTTCCCTGCATGGGGCAGCACCACGACTCAGGTGGAAACTGTGTACAAGGTCCTGGGGGCAGGTTCAGAAGGGGAGCTGGGACACAGCACTGGGAATTCTCTGGGGCACCATTTCCCCTCTCCAGTATGATTTCAAACATGTGCTAAGCAGGACAACTCTTCTTTCATCAGAAAAGAGCAAAGAGAGAACCAGGAGAGCTTGATCTTAGCTCAGCTAAAGTCACAGGCTCAGGGCTTGAAAGAACAAGGGTCCCAAAAATAAAGGGCTGACAGAAATGCCACCAACACCTGAGACCAAGGCTGGAGACAGCCAAAACCCCCACAGTCCCACCCATGACTGGAGGAGTTCAGCTCCTTTTTATCCCAGCACAGGGACCCCTACAGCTCCCAAAGCATCCCAGCACATGTCTGAGAACAACCCCCATCCCACTGGATCACAAGGAAGCAAAATGGGCTGGCATTGGGACTGGGACCACAACATCAAGGGAAGGGGTCTGAATATGAAGTAAGCTCATTGCCTGTGCACTGGTTTCAGGAGAGTTGCTCTTCTCCTGCTGTGTCTGTATATAATGGTGCTTATTGCTGGGCTTTACACACACTTCTTGCTTTTGGTTAAGAAAACACAGAAATGGCCCATTCCCAGGGACTCCCGGCCGTGGAGAGCCCTGAATGTCCTCCAAAACTTTATCAGCCGTGCAGAAACTCCACATGTACAGTCAAAAATAGGTTTACTGGAATGTCTTTAGTCACAGCTGTAAGCAGCAATACTGAAAACACTGAGCTTGTGCATTCCCATGGCAGGACCAGAAAGTCTTCTGGATCGTAAAACCGAATTTCTTTTTTTTCCTCCTTTTTTTTTTTTAACACAAAAGAAACAACACCCTTGCAGTTCTCCACAGAAGAGCCAGTTTCCTGTAATATATTGCTATGTTTCTCTTCAGACATTTATCCCCTCTTTTTCTCTGATTAAAGGACAGAGTCCCCTCTGCCTTCCACAGCAGGGAGCTTCTTGAACAGTATTATTATTAATATTACAACTCAACCATATATACAGATAGATTGTAGTGGCAAGTAGCCAGCTCCAAACCAGAGACCCAGAGTTCCCCAAAACAGGCGATTTGGGATCCGAATCTTCTGTTATAAAAAATAAGTCTGACGGGAGGAACAGGTACTCGACCGGAAAAGGGCTGTTTGGCAGTTCCTAAAACGCTCCGTTAGAACTGGCCTCTTGCCACCTCCTCCTGCTCCTTGCTCCCGGGAGAAAAACAGCTTCAAAGCTATATACAGATATCTCACTTAAATTACACAGCAGTCTGGACATCCCAGAGGCTGCTCCAGCGAAGCCTCCAGCTGCCCCGTCAGGAACGGTACTTCAGGACTATGGGTACTGGAAAACACAAAGGAACAAGCTCTCACCACACACCGTCCTGTGCAACACCCGGCCCTGCCAGGGAGCCCCCTCCCTGTTTCTGTAGAGACAAACACTGAGCAGCTGCGAGCAGGAGTGTGTTCCCAACCTCAAGCTAAAGCAATCTGCTGCCTGCACACACACTAGACAACATATCCTGCCACCTTCATCTCCTTCCAGCTTCCCAAAATTAAACCAGATGGGATTTTCCATCAGTCTCTCTCTCTCCACCCTGCTGCCAGCTCTGCCTCTCTCTTGCTGCAGGCTGTGTGTCAGAAGGACAACAGGCCGTGAGGGCTTTGCTGAAGGAACATGGACAGTTGCAGAGCTGCCCCCGGCCACTTCAGTGGGAGGAAAACCCTCCAGACCCAGTGGCCCAGAAGGGCTGAGCTGCCATGCTGGGCTGCCTGGATCCCTGGAGCACATCATTCTGCAGAGGGATTAATTACTTCTGCTGGAATAAACACACTCTGGTCATTATTAGCTGTTTGGTAGGAAAACCAGTGACATCTCGGCTCTGGGGAGCTCCAGGAAGGGCAGAGGAAGGGACCAATGGCAAAGCCAAAACAGCTACCTAATGAAAATTAAGCAGCTTGGGGGAAGAGTGTTTGTAGACAGCAGGCTCATTGCAAGATGGCTGATACATGTGGAGATGCCTTTGGAAGACATTGCTTTGGTCTGAAACTTTTCCATTTCCTCCCACCAGCCTTGGCATCAGTCAGTGCCAACCCTGGATCAATACAAGGTTGGCAGGACAGTGCTGGCTTTCTCTGGTCAGTCAGCAGGACTCGGTTTGAGCCTTGCAGGGAAGGGGCACAGAGTGGCCTACAGGCACCACTTGGGATGGCTTAAGGCAGAGTGGGGCCTGATGGAGTGGCTCAGGTGCACTCCCCCAGGGACAAGAGCACCATGGTGGCCCAGCATGGAGCACCATGAATATTTCGATGCCAGACATGGCTGGGGTGATCTGGAGCTACTCACCAATGATCACGAGCAGGAGAATCACCACCACCATCGCTATGATCGCCTTCATCTGCAAGGGGAGCACACAGGCACGTTACACAGGGTGCCTGGGGCACCTGCTTTGACCCAAAAGGGTGCTTTTGCCTTCCAGCATCTTTTCAGCTGAAAAGCAGAGCTTCTCCATCCCCTCCCAGGAGCAGGCAGGTAACCACCCTTCCACAAGCCCACCCCTGCCTGTTCCCGTTCTTGCTCACCTTACAGTCTCGCCACCACATCTGCCTCCGGAGGTGCTTGGCTCTTTTGCTAAAAGCTGCTGCATTGTCTGATAAACTGTCTAGTAAAGGAAAGGAAAGAGGTGATTCAGTGGTGCACACACAGTCAGAGCACCCACTCCTTCTAACTCCACTGAGTTTTATGTAATGAACTCGGTGTTAGGGGAAAAGACCCAACCACAGCGTGATTCACCAAAGCCCCAGCAGGTGCCAGTGTGATGCCCTTCACCAGAGCACGCACAAGACAAGTCATACTGAATTTGCTCTGCAAGCCAGTGGACAGTGCCAGGAGACAGACCAATCTGCCTTTGCTTGAAGGACCTACTAGATCACAGCACACAGATGCCCCCAAACTAACACCTCTGCACAGAGCAGCAGAAGGTGAAGGTGGAAAGAATGTTGGCAGAAAGTCTGATCTGCAGCCCAAGGCTGGGAAACACCACTCCCAAAAGGGACAGCAATACAAGTCCAGGTCTGTCATTAGGTGCTTTCTGAACTGAACCAGATAACCTGGCAAGCAGGCAAAGAGGTGGGGAACAGGCCAGCAGAGCTGCATTTGGGATCGCACCTGATTTATCCTGCAGGTCATCCAGCCGCTCGCCTCTCTCGATCACCTTCGTGATGTTCTCCTGCATGACATCGATGACCTCGTCCACCTGGTTCTGGACACTGGGGCAGAGCACAGAGGGGCAGAGCTGAGCACCACAGGCTGAGCATCACAGCTCAGAGCTGCCCAGAGCTCACCCACAAAAACCAAAGGGCACAACAGTGGAGAGAGGTCAATGGGATGCTGAGGAAGCCAGAGGCACGGGGTGAGTCTCCAGCAATCTCAGGAAGGGCCAGGGAACACAAGGGGCTCAGAGAGAACACTGGGAAGTCAGCAGAATGGGTAACCCTCTGTAACACAGTATGAAAAGGCATTAATTGCTGTTGGTGGGCACCTCTGCTGCAGAAGAGCTCACAAAGGGGGAAAAAGGTATAAAACCCACACCTTATCTTTCTATATTCCATAGAACCTCACACCACACCTTTGCTCGATAACTTGGGGCGAAATCAAATCAAGGTGCACTCCCCTCTCTGGAAACTGAATTACTAAATTAAACCCACTCTGCCAGGGGCATCAAGTGGACAGCAAAGGAATGGCTCACATGAACTAAACCAAGAAATAATTCATCTTCTCACAGGTTATGCAACTCTGTGGGTAGTCACTTCAGTGAACAGTAGCCTAAATCACACCCGGAGGGTTATTAAAAATGTATTTATTCACTCCAGGAAAAAAAAAAAAACACTGGCAAGAGAGAAGAATTTTCCTGGTGGAAAAATACTGCTGCATTCTGGTTTGTATTTTGGAGCTAATACACTTTTATTTTCCTGGAGATAGAAATAAGAATTTCCTTGAGGCCCTGGGGATACAAGACATTGTTTGAGACATACTGTTCCCAAAAAGTCAATGGCAACAGCAGGATCTTGGAGGCAACACTACACACAGGGCAACAAAACAGAAATAGCTCCAGGCCACTCACTCTGCAGCAATCTTAGGTTTGATGGCTTAGGTTGCCTCGATTAAAAACATTTAAGCACTTTAAACATATTGAAATGCATCCAGCAGTACCTAAATATGCAGCACAAATGGGCCACTTCAGCAGCTCTCCACCTTACCCTGAGCTCAGAGCACTTGGAATGACAGGAACAGCAGATCCTCCCCCATGGCCTGGGAAACTGTGGCCAAGACAGACTGGGAGCAACTGGCTCAAGGCCAGTCAATGGGGCACTGCAGAACCAGGAACAGAGCTCTGTCCTAGACCCCATGCTTCTAATTAATTAATTAGAGGTTCACACTGACCCATTTCTCCTGCCTCCCTCCCAGCTGCCTGCCTCTTACTGAGCACACACTTGTGCCGACGAGGAGCAGCTGCAACAAGCAGTAGTGGTCACAATGGAAAAGCACGTGCCTTGCTCACATTTATCTACTGTTCCAAAAGCAGGCAAGAAAAATCATTAAAAGGCTGTTTTCTCCCCAGAAAGCTCTAGGAAGAGCTCCAGATTTTTGAATATGATGGGGTTTCCCATCTTAGCGTTTCAGGTGTGCACTGTGGCCCAGGCAACCCCTCTGAAGCCAGTTTCTGAGTCAACAGGCTTCATATGGCACATGCTGGACTCCAGCAGCAGACATAAAAATTTGCTTTTAGGACAGCACCAGAAAGGAACCTGCCTTCCCTGTGCTGCATCTCAGAGTCCGTGGGAGCAGCATCTCTCTTGAACCCACCTACACCGTGCGGCGGCAGCAGCTCCCACCTTCCACAGTGATGGAGTTCCTTATCTGTAGGGGAAAGGCAGGGATAATCCCTAAACACCTCTCAGCAGGAACCTACCCCGTGCCCAGGAGCCTGTTCTGAGCCACTATTTGTTTTACAAGGTATGAGGTGAGTGGCACAGCTGCCACTGTTGGGAAAACATGGGAGGTGGCGCTGAGGACACAGCCTGATGCTGTCTGGGAAACACGTGGCAGTGCCCTGTGGAGCAAAGGGCCCACCCCACGCAGCCCCCTGGCCCATCCTTGGGACAGCAGCTGAGGAGGAGGCATGTTCTGCAAAGGGGTTTCCTTACCTCGGCACAAGTCCCAGCTCGGAGTCGCCAGCAACACAGCTCCAGCTTGGGGTGAGAGAGGAAAAGCAGAAACATCTGCTACCCCAGATGAGCCAACTTGGCAAAACCTCTGACGCCTTAAGCATCGGCTTCACAGGCAGAAGTCTACATTTGCAGTATGTAAATGTTTCTAAAATCATTTACTGGCTTGAAAGTAGAGATTTCCTCCTACAACGGATTTGTAACCAAGTTATCCTGGTACAACTAACAAGTGGGAGCACACAAGGTCATGGTGCATCCAGGAATGTGCAGAGCAATGCAACACCGCCTGTATCCTTGCCAGTACAGGTGAAAGCCTGGAGAGATGCTGCTGCAGTCCTGGGACACCTCAAAGTGTTGGAGGCAAAGCAGGCAGGTACCTGACTTCAAGCTGCTGTGGTGCATACCAGCATGTGGGAGAGACCTATGGAGCACAGACTCTTACTGCCCAAGCTGCACCTCAGCATCCCCTCCCTTCTCACTTGAGCTGCTGGCAAAACACCAAGAGCCTTTGCTACCTTCCCAAACCCTAGGCTGGCTGTTAACTGTCCCCAAGAGAACAAAACATTTCACAAGTGGAGAATGGAGGCACAGAGAAATCAAGGCTTATAAACTCCCACAAATGTTGAGGTCTTGACCTTCCATGGAACACAGATGCATTTGAGCAGCCCAATCAATACCTTTTGGCATCTGATGTAAAAGAGAACCCTGGGAAAAAACAACAAAACAAAAAACAGGAGGGAGCTGAAAGATGCCCAGCCTATTCATGAGCCCAGCAGTTTCAGAACAAATTCAAAAATTCCCACTAGTTTGGCATGCTTGAGGCTGGAAACTCAAGAAGAATCAAGAAGAAAATATTTTCTTGCTTTATTTGGCAGGAGGGAATGAATCCTCTAATTCAAAACGTATTTCCTGTCGGGGAGCTACTGGCTTTTGACACATACACTTCATGTGCTTCACTCCAGGCAGATTTCAAAGAGAAATAAAATAGAATAAATACCTGCCAGGAAAGGGAGAAAGACAAAAGCATAAAATGTCTCCCACGACCCTCCTTCTTACTAGTAACTGCAAACATGATGCTTTTAACAAGGACAGCAAGCATACACTGTAAGAGCAACAGGAGACCCAGCAGTGCTCAGCTTGGTTTAGACTCCTCTTTTCTTGTGCTCTGCTGTACCAGAGTGGGAGGAATATGCCTTTCCATTTTGGCCATACTGGTTAGGTACTGAAAACTCCCTGGGCTGGTCAGGGTGTTGGGCTGACAACAGTGCTACTGCATTCTCCAGATGCCATGAACAGGCCATGCACACACGCCACAGGATGTGCTGCCCAAGGCTGCTGCTTGTCTCCAGGCTGGCTGTTTACAGCCAGCATGACACACTTCTGTTTTCCACCCCAGCCATATTAATAGTGCTGTGTGTTTTGGTGCAAATGACTCCCAAACGCCCCTCGTTGTGGCAGTAAACCAGGGAAGAGGGAACAGCATGGAGAGCCAGGGCAGATGGAAGGTACAAAGGCAGGAGGCCAGCACTGCACAGAACTGCCTGAGCCACAGCTCAGCAACACTGTATCTATCAGCACAACTATTCCACAAATCCCTGGCTTTAAGTTGCTGCTTCGTCCCAGCTGTGAGGAAAACAGCAGTCTGTGCTTCCCTGAAGCCTTTCAGTCATGGAAAGGATTATTTCCAACAATGATTCCCGTAAACATGGTCTCGGTATCACCTCCAGATGAAAGCCTGCACTGTGGCTGGGGCCCACTGCACAACCAGCCACCTCCCATGAACAGCCAGGCCCTGGGAAGCTGCTGTCAACTCTTGCCTTCAAACCATTCCTCAAACTCTCCCCTTCCTCAGGGCCTGCAGAAAGACAGAGCCACCAAAGCCGAGCCCTGGGGCCAGGGATGCTGGTCACCCCCAGCAGAACAACGAGGGAATCACAGGGACCAAGGCCTGGCTCCTGGGATACCTCAGCAGTGTGCTGAGCCTCAGCACCAGCAGGAACCTGAATCCAACAGCACAGTCTCCAGAGAGCACAAACATCAGCAATGAAACAAGTCAAGCAGTGCAGAAAAGGGGGTGATTTTAGTGGTGCTTTTGAAAAGATGGCCTGTGATTAGATGCTATTGTTCTAAATAAAAGAAATGCAGGTGGAAGATGAACACCCCACTTTCCCCTGAAAAGGCACTAAGAGTTCTCACACACACATATTCAGGAAAGGCAAAGAAAGGAGTTCAGCTTTCCCTAACCTGTTCTTGGTAACTTTGGGGAAAAGGATAAAAGCCTATTAGAAGCTGCCTTTCAGTTCCGGCCCACCCCGGGGATGGGAGCCCAAGGGACCCCATGTGGCCTCTCAGTTACCAGAGGAGAGTCCACCCTAACCAAGCAGTTTCCAGACACATCAGGAGGAAACACAGCACGGAGGGGACTGACACTTCCTCCTGCCACTGTTGCCGACTGTAATTCACCACTTTCCCCTCCGAAGTTTGCAGTGTTCCCCACAGCTGAGCCCGCCTCGAGGGTCTCAGCCACCAAACTCCACCCTGCCTCAAGACCCTTTACTGCCAAGGACAACTAGAAAAAATTTCCAGCCTTGACCCTCACATTCAACATGTTCCACACCTTTGCTCCCATCACTTTTTCCTCTCCCCAGTCCTCCATCCAGTTTCCTTTTATGCCTGTCTTCACACCTCGATCCTCCAGCCCTGTACAGCTACAGCCTCTCTAGCTTTGCCCAGCTATGCCTCAGCTCTCCAAATGCTCAAATTCCTCCTTAAAATGCCTTTTGCTTTTAGTTTTTCAGCAGCTGCCCAACCCTTTCTCTGTTGAAACCAGAGCAAACTGGCTCACTAAGAGACCAGGCATCGATTCATCGGCACAAGATCAGAAACGTAATAATGAGCTCCATGACGAGAAGTGATGAGTGCATGGCACAAGTGCTTATTAAACAAAGCAGTCAGCGTTGATGAGAGCAGAAAATAAACACTGTTCTATAACAGATGTTCTAGATACTGGATAGATGTAGCCACTTGCTACCCCAAGGGACATATTTCATTCCAAGTCCACTATCCAAGCAATCTCTGGCAGCAGGCAAATCTCCGGGGTGTTGGGCATGAGTCACATCACACCTCTGGACCCACCAGTTCCTGGCTGAACACCTCTTTCATTTTTCTTCCCCTTCACAGGTGCAGTGCCATCCTCTACCTAAGCCCACACTCCTGCCTGCCAGGCCAAGGTTGTGGGAAGAGAAGAGCTCCTGTTTTTCCCCACCACACAGGGAAGGCAGAAGATACTGCAGTTCCTGTCCAGCAGAGGAAGATGAAGGGGCAGACATTATACCCTCTCTACTTCATTTACTCCCAGTCAGCCTGGCTGTGCCCTAGAAGGCAGGCTTTATCTACTCTGGCTTATTCCAAGGATCACTTCACCTCTACCAACAGCCTCCTCACACGCTGGAGGGAAGACAGATCCCTGAAAACTCAGGGCACAGTGACCTTCCCCCTGCCTGTCATGTATCTCAAGTGCCCTTTGCCCCTGCAGGTAACGTGGCGAGCAGGCACACAGCAGGCACTGCCTGATGCTGACATGGGCAGTGAGTCATCCCAGAGCTGCACTGGCATCTTCCTGGCATGGAAAACATCCCTCACGAAGAGCCACACTCAGGCTGCAAACAAGACCCAGTCTGAACAGCCCAGTCATAAGGCCCCACACAGAGCTCTGTTCTGGCTCCACAGAGACCAGCAAAGGAAACAGGGCAACACAAACCAGGGGGCTGAGAGTATCCTCCCACTTTTAATTAAGTACCACCACCACATCCCTCACAGGAAAGGGCAGGGAAAACTGGAGCCCTGAACAAGCATCATCCATGAAATGACTCCGTGGGAGGAGGATCCAGAGTGTTCACTCCTTCCTTCTTGCCCTAATCCTCCTCCTGAAATGGTTTCCTGTTTTCCAGCTGCCTTGACTCCACTGAGTCACTCCTCATCTCCAGGTCACCTCTATCAGGTTTTTATCTGGGGAAGAGGCCAGAGGACCAGCTGCTGCCCAAAAAACACAGTGCTGATGTGTTCCTGCCCAACTGCTTTCCTGAAATGTTGAGGAGCATGTTACAGGATGAAGGAAAAAAGCCACAAAACAATAAAAAGTTGTGCTAGTGGAGGCTAAAGTTCAGGGCTCTAGAAAAAGAGCCTCACAAAAGCATGGAACAGCTCACCACCACAACCCAGCAAGGGCTTCAGAAACTCCACTAAACTACTGTGATATAATCTTTTCCCTTTGTCTCTGTCAGCGCTCAACTTCTTGACACCTTGCATCAAATCTCAGATTTCCTTCAGCTGTGGGCACATAGGGTAGGACATAACAATTAGAAGAAAGCAGGGGCAAGGAACGTTCCTGCTAAGAACTACACAGAAATACTTTGGTAAGACAGCAGCAGGGGCTCACAGCACTAGAATAAATTATTATCTATGTGACACTGAGGAACAACAACTTACTGCCTGATCTTGTCATTCCTGGGTCCAAACCTGGGTCCAGAAGGCCCCCTCCTGCAGGCAGAAAAGATCAGTCAGGATGGAGGATACAATGAAAACATGTTTTTAAAGGAGACTCAAAAGATACACAAGAAAGAACCAACGCCTTGTGGATGAAGGATTGTTTTCATAGCTCCCGTGAGTCCCTCCCACGTCTGAGGATATGTGGGACACCCCACCTTACAAAAGGTCACACCTATTAAGACTTAATTCATACTCAATGCCAAGGCTCTGGGAGATCATCCCAAAGGAATCAAAGGTTTTGATTCCCAGTCCCAGAGCTGCAGGCAGGTAGGACATTGCATTCCCAACAGCAGCCGTTCAGGAACTCACAAGAAAAAGTCTTCCTCTTCATCTGAGTCTTCCTCCAACAGGTTCCTCTGCAAACACATTAAAAACAATAAGCAACCACCATGTCACACACATTTCCAGCTCTTAGGATGCAATCAGCAGCCTCTGCCTGCAGGAAGGCTCTCTCTGCTCAAGGGACAGTCCCCAGCCCTGCCAGCAAACACATCAGTGTCGCCCACAGCCACCTTGCGCCGTCCCATCCATGCGGGAAGTCAGATCCACGCTGGCTTTGGAGGACATGGTTTCTCCAGCCATCTGATAGGAGCAGGTGTAAGCACAAGGAAACACACTGGGCTCCCTGGGCAGGGAAGCAGAGTGGTCTGACAGCTCTGCTCTGCTCAGATTTGCTGATCCCACTAGATGGTCCAAAGGCTGATTTTTAAGAGCAATCCCACTGAAGCCTGACAGTTTCGGAAAAAGACGTTTACTAGAATTTGTTTCTCCTATCAGGGCAGCACGGGGTTTACAAACTGAGCTCAGGGCTCCCTGAAACATCTGCTCAGGGTCAAAAATAGTCGATAGGGGGAAATGCCACACTGAAGGCATGGGCCCAGGGACACAGCAGTGGTCCTTGAGGTACCAACAGCTGCTGCTTCCCCCGTGCACAAATTCAGGCCCCCACCAGCAAGCCTGATGATCTTATTTCAAAGCTCCCCTACATTTCCATCCTTGCCACAGTTCCTCAATCAACTTAAGCAACCCGTGAGACCACACAATAGTTCCAGCCGTTGCTTCCCGCAAGGATGAGCAAAGTGCTCTTGGAACTCGGGATCCTCATCTCACTGACAGCTGTTGTGAGCTGCAGCAGCACTTAAGACCACGGTCTAAACTGAGTTTTAGCACAGTGTGACCCCAGGACAAACACATCACGTTAAACCCGCTTTGTCCAACACAGGCAACTGCACCACTGTGACCCGTATCCACTGCCTGAAACGTCAGAGGACCTTGGCACCAGGGGAAGAACTCAGCTGTAAAGCACAGGGCGACTTCACACGAGTTCCCTGGCCAGCTGCGAGACACAAGAGCCAGGACATGCCCATGCCAAGCCCTGCAGAGCGGCAGGAGACCGGAGCACAGCGGGGTCTCACAGCCATAGACATGGAGCAAAGGAACTACAACAGGTTCTCAGGGCAGCCCTTCCCCCTGAAGTGGCTGATTTTACAACCCGCAGGTCGGCTGTGAAGCTCGCACAGCCCCTCACTGACCGAACGCCGCTGTCACAGCGTTTCGGGCTCCGGGCCCCGAAGGGCTGCGGCAGCACAGGGACCCCGGCCCAGGGACCCGCACCGGGGCACCCCGCGGGCAGCACCCGCCCGGTCGCGGCACTCACCCGCTCGCTCTTCACCGAGCCCGTCACCTCGTCGTCGTTCAGGTGCCGCTTGAATTTGGGCGGCATGGCCGGGCTGGGGATGCTTGGAGGAGGCAGCGAGGAGCGGCCGGGTCACCCGCACCGGCGGGCCCGGAGGATGGAAA